ACAGTGTCCAGTCTAGCTCAAGGATCTTCATTGTAGAGCAGATACAATCTGAGCTTCTGATGCAGCAAATGAAGAACCAGCAATACTAGGCCAAACTTCAGATATTCCCCGCGGAAGAACAATGAACAACCTGATTAGCCTTGCTTTACATTTCAAACAGCTCTCACTGCCCCTTTGCTAATTCGTTCCTGGTGTAATTATGTGCTAGTGAAGTTTGTGCAAAGGGAAACAGAACCGCAAAGAATGCATAGCTTACTGACTGTGAAGTGCTAGAGTGAGGAAATTTGTTATTCCCCTTCCCTGGAAACTCCTTTCTTTGAAATCAAAATCTGTTTTGCTGACGGGCTGATGATAGGATATTTCCATGGGAAATGGTATTTTCCTGCAGGAAGCATGATGCTGGTGTAACACACATCTGCTGAAATATTTGGTGACAATCTACTTACACCAGTGCTGCATGCAGTCTAGCATGTTTTAAAGTCCAATTTACTCTATAGAGTCAAATACTCTATACAGACCAATAGTGCAGAGCTCTTACTCTTCTTTGGCATCATACCCCATTCTGAGTAGCTCCATTCATATTGCCTCAGGAGGTGAGATGTTTGTACAAAGCAGCAAAACAATTTCAGTCTTCTTCTTCTCTGGTTCCTTCTCTGTGGTTTACTTTTCTTAACCTTGTTCTCTTTTTCCTTCCCCTCTCATCTTCTCCCACTTCCCAGGTGATGCAGTTTGGAAGAATTGATGGCAATGCTTACATTTTGGACTTTCAGTATCCATTTTCTGCAGTTCAAGCCTTTGCTGTTGCTCTGGCTAATGTGACTCAACGCCTCAAATGAACAAGCAGAGACTGGAGAGAGGAAAATGTTCACCTTCTCATAAAGTCCAAACCGGAAAATGTCAGGGCAGCCTGCTTTAGGTGTGCAGAGGTGCCTGGGAGTGAAGAAGGCAGTAAAACTGGAAAAGTCTCTTAGTGCCCACCAGAAGGGCATTAACTCTAATCAGTCAAGGGGTGGAGGGTGGGGGGCTGTTTTCTGTTTGGTTTGTTTGTTTGTTTTCTGTTTTGTTTTTTTTTCTTTTTAAGCATTGTGCTGGGTCTCAGAAAGAGCAAAGGGTTGAGAACCATTCAGTGTTACATGGAGAAGTGTGACTTTTGGCTTGTTGTGGTGGTTCTGCCGTGTGTGCTACAGTAGCTGATGTAAGCTCATTGGGGGATTAAAAAAAAGACTGCTCTTTTTGATAGACTGCCTTATATCATGCTGTTCTTTTAAAACAGGGAACATAACTTTTTTCTGGTCCAGTTTGTACTACTACTGCTCTACTACTAAAACACCAGTGATAGCAGCAAAAAATTAAAAAAAAAAAAAGCAGCTATAATACTTGAAGACACATGTTTCTTCTCTGATACCTGCTAATAACTGAGCACCACAGGTTTCCAAGGAGGCTTATATAGGTCAATGTTTAATTTATAAGTAATGATGTATTATTCAGAAGAGAAACAATTGTTGCCAGTGGGTGGTTTGAAAACCCACTGTATCAAAGAAGTTGATGTCTGCTTATTTTGTGTGCTGTTACTGAGGATAAACATCTTTCAGTAGGTGGCAGAAGATAGAGAAGCAAATAATTATGAGCATTGCTTCTTTCGTTAGTGGGATAAACACCTTTGAGTAGGTGACAGAAAACTGGGGAGGAAATAATCATGAACGTTGCTTTTTTGTTCACATTGGTCAGCAGTATTCTCTGATTTGGCCTGCAGTTGGGAGAGGTGCAGTGTTACCAGATGTACCTCCAAGGCCACGCCTGTGCATGCTCTTTGTTTCAGTGTGTTTACACCTTACAAACAAAGTCTTTCTAGCAAATGAGAAGGCCCAGTGTACTCAGTCTTCTTAGCAGTCAGTGTGAATCAAGGTGTACCAGTACTTGAATTAGGAAGGAGACAAAAGTCTAGCAAGTCATTACAAGAACCAGTTTAATCAGGAAAGCAAATTCATTACAGGAAACAATATCATGGCTGTCTAGAGAACAAGTGAGTTGAAGGAGGGAGGAAAAATTGGACAGAACCATGCCTTTTAGCACCTTGCTAGTTGAGTAGTCTTTGTGACTGTGGTTTGAGAACATAATGTTCCAGCTAAGAGCAGGAAGCCAAAGTTTACAGGTAGTGTTATAGAGGAAGGCTTAATAACAGTAGCATGACTCTGTAGTTCTTTCTGCTGGACATGCAGACCTGTTGAGCATTTCAGGAGGGTTGCTTGCACAGAAGAATTTCTGTGTTGTCCATGTGTTGTGCACATATTTATTTGCTTTCTCTCTTTCCTCCTTGTCAGCATTTTGCTATGCAGTATGTTTTGATATGGAAGTAGTTTGCCCAATAATACACAAACCCCCAAACTACTCATGTAATTATTTGGACATTAGATTACAAAACCTCACTGCAAATTTTCTTCAGAAATTGATCTTTTGAAGTTAAAGGCACACTGAGAAGGATGTGCTGGTTGAGATGTTGATGGCTGCTTTGTCTTTGTCTTTCACCCACGATTTAACTTCTTTACGTGAAAAACTCAGTAAAACTTAAGATTAATAGGTGTAATTTTCTCTCTTTGTTTTTCTTAAATCCTTGTACTAGGGCAGGTGTGTGTTGCATTTGATTTGTTCTAGAGGAACATACCACATAAAACCCTGCTGTAGTAGAAGTTACCAATATGCAGTGAGCTTCTAACTCCTGCTCTGCTAAGGCTTCTGTACAGCACAGAGGAGTAATGCCAGTCAAAAAGGAGTTTCAGAGTTGCCAAGGGAGATGATGAGGCAGATCAGGTAATGTCCCACAGGGTAAGTCCAGGAAAAACTACCTGCAAGATGGTTTCATTGGAGAGAAAAAGCAGAGGTAGGAAGGAAGGAGGGGGAAATAGATGGTACCATGCCTGCATATCCCAAAGCTCAGCAGCTCCTGCTTGTGTGTGGGAGTGGTCAGGCACAACATTCCCCTTGGCATCTAGCAGATTGTTATTTGCTTTAATTAATTAGTTTTGTTTCCATTAATTGTCTGGGCCTATTTGTGTTCTTTTTCACTGTGCACAATTTATTCAGCAGTTTGAGTGCCTGTATGTATAATGTGTGTGGAATAGAGGAACTGAAATGGATTTGGTCCTGGTCCCTTGAAAATGAATGGAAATGTTTCATTTGGGTTTTGTTTTTTTTGTGGAGAAAACACTGTTAAACCCCATGTCTATATTGAGTTATATACTGTAAAAACACTAGGTTGAATTCTTTGTCCACTGATTCCAATACACAAGGAGGAAAGTAGATTGATGAGAGTCCTCACCTGCCCTAAGGCCTGTGCTAACCACTCATACCCTCATTAATAGTTTAACAGGCACACACTGAACACATACGAGAAGAAACATAGCAGGGCTGGCTTTCTTGCTTGCTTAGTCACATGTCAGAAATCTTCAGCTGAAAGAAATATCCCCTGTAATTTTATGCCAAGTTTATTAGTACATGGAAACAGCATGAATGTGCTTTTTTGAAGAAAATCTAATCTGTTTAGAAGGACTTTGCATGCAGTTTCTTTAACTGTCCATGGAACAGTATTCCTCTTCACTTGGTTCTTTTCCAATTTTTTCCTATTATCAGCAGTTTTATGCTAATAGAGAACCAAGAAATGAAACCATATAAAACAAGTAGCAGAGTTAGTAACTTGGTTTCATTGGTCCAGGTCATGATTGCATCCTTCTGGTGGCACTCACAAAGAAACCTGGCACAGGAAGAGCCCTGGTTTCTGCCCCAGCAAAGCACAAGGAGTCGTTATAAAAAGTTCAGAAGATAAATGCTGTTTCCAACATCCTTCCCATTTACTTGTCAGAAAATTCTGTAGGATAAGATAATCTTTTATCTTTTTGAAAATAATTTAACAGAGTTCCTTTAACTGAGTATTTTAATGCCCAGTATTAGAGAGAGAAAATACTCTCAAATATATAGAGTTTTAATGAAAGGAACAGGAATTATGTAAAAGTCTGAGGGTGCAACTGGATTCTAAATTATAAAAAGAACAAATGAAAGTTGTTTTGTTTTTCATTGAAGTACAATATATGAAACAAATTTAAGAACTCTCCCAAATAATCACTTAAATCCTGAAGATCACTACTGCATTCAGCCAAAAGATAGATTTTGGATTGTTTGTTTCCAGTTTTTCTGAAGATAACTAAGTTCTTCTAGGAAGAATATGGCAAAGTGCTTGGAAATATCTATTACTTTTATACATGCAGTAATTTCCAGTAGTTAAGTATGTTTTTTCCAAAGCGTTTTTTTTCTCAGTTGTGCAATAATTGTAACAGTTTGGGGGGGGGGGGGTGTTATCTTGTTTCTGTTGGGTTGTTTTTTTGTTTTGTTTTAGTTTAGGTTTGATTTTTCTTTAGGGAGTTTTGAGTGGTTTTTAAAAGATAATTTAATGCAGATTGCCTGTTAATGTCCAAAAGACAAATTATTTTTCTTGCATAATAAGTGATTTAGGGATTATTTTATTACTGTGTATCAGTGAGTTACACACATTTATATTTAAGGAGCAACTTTGTAAGCAATTGTTTGCTAGCAGGTATGTTTTGCTGCAAGAAGTTAAAAATGCATATAGGAAGACCTGGTTTTGCTGGATAGTATGCAAAAAATTTCATAATGCAGGCAAGGCAAAAATATTTTTTTGGCAGCTAAACACAGTGAGTTAGCTATGGAGAACTGTGTAGACTACAAAGAGTGTAGGTGACTTCTTTGGGACCTGCAGAAATCTGTCCTCTGCTGTTTACCTCCTTTGTTTTTAACTATACTTCAGTTGGGAGTGGTTTGAAAACCTCTTCTTAGTGCAGTGCTTTTTCTTGGGATATAAAATATGATGGGTCACGTGCTAAAAGAAGGTATAACAATCCAGGCTCAGTTGCAAAGAAGTTCATTGCGTAGCTAGTAGGGTTTGGCAATGGTGTAATTCAGTGCTGTGCAGAAATACAGGCCAACTCGCTTGGAATGAGCTATCCGAGGCACAAGAAATAGCACAGCAGTAGAAGCATTTTCCTCTGCTCAGACTAGTAATGCTCCTCGTTCAGCTGGGCTCAGCTGCTCCCAACACAATAGTGCCTCTGGTAGGTGAGCTAGCACTGCACAGAGCTGATGGAGCTGAGCCCTGACATCGCCTGCAGCAGCTTTGACTCTTCAAGATGCTTCATAGGAGACCTGTTGGAGCAGGTGTTCCTCCACTCATCCTTTTAGATCTGCTCCAAGAGCAGTGTGAAGCTGCCGTGGAGTTTGGCTGCAGCAGCTTTGGGCAGAGAAAGCCCTGATGCCAGCCCAGTGGTCATGGTGGCCATTTGAAGTCAGAATCTGCTCTGCTGGAATTGCAAAGGGATGCAACTGAAAACCTGATTCTTTTGGAAAAATAAGGCTGATATCCTCGAAATAGATATCCTAACACAGTCCAAAAATTGGTATTTAAATTCTGGTATGAAGTGCACCATAGAGTGGCAATTTTTAGCTTGCAATAGTAAGAATATAATGTTTCTGCAACATCCTAAGAAACTGTGAGAAGAACGGGGGTGAAAGAGGAAAAAAAAGGAATTACCACATTAATACTTATGCACTCAGTTCCAGAGGTAGCAGTAACATGTGCCATGGGCTGCCTGAATATCAATAAATCTGCACACAGGTTCATCTCAGTTAGAAAAATTTTCTGTGATGCAGCCACAAGTAAAACAGTGATTTTATGAAGATACATGAAGGTCTACAGGTGTCAGACAAGGATATCTGATGTTGCTGAAGCCTTGAGTCTAAACTTTCTGTAGGTCCAGGCTTTCCTTGATGTGTCTCTTTAGTGTCCTCTCAGAAATTCCAACCAGATTTTGGAGCTTGCCTGTCTGTTATCTCAGACAATTCCTGTGCATTTGCTTTTTGCAGCCTGATGTGTGTGATCCTGTGTTATCTTGGTGCCCTATTACCTGTCAGAAACATTTTAAATCCTCATATGAAGAGAGCAGCAAGTGCAAAAACCAATTTGGTGGAGAGAAGACAGAGTAAATTTTCACTAGCTGTTAAGAATGTGTTTCCCAGAACAACAGTTTGGAAATTGCACATTTCTGCAGGTCCCAAATGACTCTAGACCAGTAAATCTGATTTAGAGATTAGTAATACATGAGTCACTTGTGTGGCATGCTGAGAGGGCCAACTTCCAGCCTCACTACATGGTTACACTAAGATATGTAAGAGAGCAGAATCCAACCCAAAATGTACTTCCACATTACTGTGTGATTAAACGGTAAAAATTACTTGTATGACCCATATATCCACTTACAAAAATTATAAAGCATTAGCCAACAGCTATGTTGACA